TGTTTATTATATATATATATATATATATATATATATATATAAAATATACACATATACACACACACACACCAAAATTCATACATTCTATTTTTAGATCCATAGTGGAGATGTACCATTATTTTTGTCAGTGTTGAGAAGTACTGCAAATTTCTGACAAAATATTAGTTCATAAGAGGAGCTCACATCCTAAGGACAGAAAAATAGACCAGGTCAAGGAAGGGGAAAGAAAAGGGATTTTCTATACAAACTAACAAGAATCACTACAGGCAGTAATGAATGGACCCCTCATCTCATGGACCACATACTATCTATTCCTGTGCATTAAGGGCTCAATTCTGCTCACATTTACAATGATATATGCAGCACTGGCAGACCAGGTGCCAGCTCAGGCCAAGAGCCCTGGTCCTCAATGAATATTGACAAATGCATAGCTAGAAACCAGTCTTGGTCACCTGTGTGTTAGTATTGTTAAATAGATATTAGAGTTATGAGAATGTGTTTAGATTTTATGAAATGCGTGTAGGATGCTGCTTGTATTAATCTTATTAATATCTGTATCCAATGTTACAAGGTAATATTTAAGTGTTTGCTCTCTAACTATAAAAACGTTTGTTAAGACTATAACCACCCCCCTCCACTGCCCCCATAAGGAGAAAAGCATTACCAGGTGTGAAATACTAGTTTACCACAAAAGATGTCATTTCCTCCCCAACAAAAGGTGGCCTTCAGACACCAGCCAAACCACTGGAATATCAGTGGACAAAATACTTTGCTGATTGGTTCCCCCACACTGAAGAGGGTACATACACGAGCCCTCATCCCACCATAGCTTGAACACTGGGGGAAGGGAATACAAATTCCTGACCAGAAGGATCTGTATTACTATGCTGCCTGGAATTTGGAGAGGGCAATATTTCTAAGCATAAGCAAGAGATCCCCATCTGCTTAGCCCTAAACTACATTAAACTTTAGTTAGTTTAATACAGGATTGGCTACAAATTAGAGGATTGAGCCAAAAGAAATCTGATGAGCTTCAAAGACAAGTGTAGAGTCCTGCACTTAGGACAGAAGAATCCCATGCACTGCTACAGACTAGGGGCCGAATGGCTAGGCAGCAGTTCTGCAACTCTTCTCAGGGCTGACATACTCATTACACCGCACATACTAGTGTCATGGTATTTATTTAAAAGGTGACAGTGTACTCCTGGGGGAATTCTGCAGTAAAAAAAAACCAAATTTCTGCACCAAAAAAACCATAAATTTCTGCATATTTTATTTGTCAAAATAATGCAATATAATCACACCAGTTTCACTTATTTTGGTAATTTATTTAAACTACCATACAGAAAAAAAAATCACAACTGTTCAGCATTTCCTAAATACATGAAAGTTAAATTACAAATACTAGGTAACCAATACCCTGCATTCCAGTTATAATCCTGGATTTTCATTTAAATTACATAACTTATTTTGATGTTCTATACAGTAGAATGTTGCTTTAAATTACTCAGACTTTTACACATGAAAGTCAGGGCCAGATGAACCTTTTGTGGGCCTGGTGCCAAACATATTTGTGGGCCCTCATAGGGGCAAAGGAGCATGGCGTGGGGAGGTCGGTCCCCAGAGCAAGGGGCCAGCCAGGGGCAATGGCCTCGTCCAAGATTTCCTCCTCCTGGATCAGTCCACTCTCAACTGGCACATGAGCCACCGAAGTATCCACAATGGTCTTCGCAGTGGAGGTGGGGTCACTGCTGAGTATCACATCCAGCTCTTTGTAGAACTGGCAGTTTGTGGGTGCAGCACCGGAGTAGCGGTTTGCCTCCTGCGCTTTGTGGTAGGCGTTCCACTGCTCCTTCGATTTGACCCTGCACTGCGATGTGTCCCAGTCATGGCGCCTTCCTGTCATGTGTCATGAAATCCATCCATAGGTATCATAATTCCTATGGCTGGAGTGAAGCTGGGACTGCACTCCTCTCTCCAAATGCTGGTGAGGTCCAGCAGTGCCAAGCTGGTGCGTGGAGCAGGCATGGCCACCTGGAAAAATGCGCAGTTTCTGCGCACTAAGTGGCTTGGCAGTGTGTACACCTCGGGAGTTACAGCACAGAAAGTTGCTTTACTGCACGGAAACTTGCCAGTGTAGACAGGGCCAAAATCATTGAACTTTGAAAGATATGAGCAAAGACAGAAGCCATCTTTGGCATTCATCATTAGAAGACACACAAGGGAACACAGCTCTTCTAAGCTGAGGAATATGGGTTGTTCAACCAAAGCGTGGGGAGGGGAGGAAAAGGAGGGGAGAGGCATTGAAGTCTCTGGCAATTAAGTATAAGTGAAAACCTCCTTGGGAAAAGATCTTTTGCCTAGAAAAACAAAGGAAGCCAGCATCTTGTACTTCTGTGGAAGGTCCTGACTGAGGGAAAGTGAGTTATTGGTGCGAAGAAGAATGATTGGTGAGAGAAATTATCCTGAACAAATTCAGTACCTCGCTAGATTAAGTTTTAGACCAGTGATACTGAGATCTCAGTGGTCCAGGAGCCAAATTAGCAATCAACATTACCCAAAAGAGCCACAATAGTGTGAATTCATTATTTCATTTACTTCAGTACTATACCTTCATATTTAAACACCATTGCAGGGAAAATATTTAGTTTTTAATATATACATATATTATTCTCCCAGGAAAATGACTGACAAAGTATTACTATTTTATCAGCTGCAATTGGTTAATAACATAGTAAAAGCATCCTGGTTGGTTAATAATTAAAATCACACCGTGTTTTAATATCATGTGCTGCAAAGAGCTGCAGGAGACACATTAAAGAGCCACTTTGCGACTCGTGAGCCTCAGTTTGAGTATCTCTGTTTAGACTTATATGTATATTTTCAATTTTTTATTTTTTGCTTGACACCCTTTCCAACTTTATTCCTTTTACTTGGTATCATTTAATCTATGTCATATTATTAATTTGTTTGTTTTTTTACTATAAACCAACCCAGTGCTGTGTTTAAATGGAAGGGTGTATTTGCATCAGGTAAGTTAATAAGCTGTGATGCGCTTTCGCATCTTTAGAGGAACAAACGAATCTTATTCTCTCTAACTGTCCAGGAAAGGGCTGAACATTACATAGCATATGGTTCTGAGAAAATTCAGGACTGGGAGAGTGTTGGGGTCACTCTGCAAGACGTGATCAAAGCTGGTAGAGATCAGGGAGCATGACTGGTGTGTTGAAGGCAAGCTGCTGGGGTCAGAGTTGCTGGACCAGGGCTGCAGTTATACTAGGGTTACCATATTTTGTGCCTCCAAATGGAGGACACTCCACAGCCCACGGCCCCGCCCCAGCCCCGCCCAACCCCGCCCCCTCCCCAAAGTCTCCGCCCCCTCCCCTGCTTCGCGCGAATATTTGATTCGCGGGAAGCCTGAAGCAGGTAAGGAGGGTGTGGGGGGAGGAGGCGCGGCCCAGGCTGGCCCCCCGGCGTTTCCAGCCTGGGTCAGCTCGGGCCCTGGGGTGCCGGCCCCGGCCCCCGGCCGACCACCCCCGGC